TTACACCAACCTGATAAGAGAACAATGGGTCTCCCTGCAGCCCTTCCCTGGTCCTGCTGGGGTCACAGGGCCTTAACCCAAGGGATCCTAGACCCCAGGAAGGAAGGAAGTTCAGATGCTGGCAACCTGCCAGGGGCTTTCAAGAGGCGATGTGATGAGGAAGATGGCTTAGGGCTTAGTTCTTCCTAGAGGTCGGGTTCACCAAAGAGCACCCCAGGCCTGCACACACACACCGGCTTCTCTAAGGATGTTATTTACAGCGTAGTTAACTCGCTCCTAGTGTCAGCTCTGCAGCTCACCCTGAGAAGCTTGAGTAAGTCCCTCGGGCCTTAGTTTCTTCCTCTGTCGAGTGGGGGTGACAACACAGCCATTCTCACAGGGTTGTTGTGGGGCTGCCAAGAATTCCTGGTCTGGAAGTACTTGTTCCCTGCCTCCAGCCCTCGGACAGATGCTCTCCGGGGCAGTGTCTACCAGATGGGGAGGGATGGGGTGGGGGGCACTGTCCCTCTAGCAAAGGGTCTTATTGGAAAAGGAAGTCGTTCTTGGCTGTGACGCTCAGCGGCAGCAGCGACTCCCCCTGCATCACCGGGAGGCTTGTTAGCTGGTGGGTGTGCAGAGCCTCTGGCCTCCACCCCCCACCCCAGCCTCCACCCCCCCCCCCCCCCCCCCCCCACTGCTGGTCAGGTTTTTAAGTCAGCCCTCATGGGCACAGTCTCCATGCCTGATGGTTTCTATGGGAACCAGGCTTCCTGGGAAGGCTGTAGGGGGGTGGGGAGAGGTCCTTTGGGACCAGCATGGGAACCGCGCTCCTGCCCCACCCGACCTCCTGCCAGGGCAGGGCCTAGGCAGCCGTCCCATAAGCAACACCGTGTCAGTTGCTGTCCTGCAGGGAGTCTGCAGCAGGGGCTGGGCCCCTTGACTGCCTTTTCTCAGCGCCTCGTCACAGCCCTGTGAGCTAAAAACGAGTACCGTGGTTTCCACCAAGGCAGAAATGGAAGCTCAGAGTGGTTAGGACACTTTTTGAGGTCACAGACAAGAGAAAAACTTGAGGTTTGAGCCCAAGTTTGCTTAATCATTGAGTATACGCCCCCATTCTCCCATGACACCCGCAGCCCTGGAAAGCCTCTCTGTCCCTGGCCTCTGTCTAGTTATGACCCTTCTGTCTTGCTGCCACGGGGAGCTCTTTGGGGATGTTCTTCCTGGCCTCAGATGTCCCTGCACTTGATGGGAGAGCAGGTAGGGGCATGGGGGGGGGCGTGCTGCAGGGAGTCAGACCTTGGCCAGCAGTGGGGAGGGGGCACTTTCCACCCCTTCCCCAACTCACGACTTGGTGAGAGATATTTGGTGAGCTCCTCACACGCCAGGAAGTGTCCCAGGCTCTGTGAGCAAGACCTATAGAAAGCCTGGCCCTGGGATGCTGGCCTTCTAGTGATGGCCACGGCTTTTTGCAGAGGGGGCATGGCGATGTCTCACCACACTGTCCCCGCCCCCCAGTCCTGACCCCCACCATTTCCTGGGCACCCTATGGGCCAGACCCTTTGCCAAGACCATCTGTGCCTACTCTCTTATGCCTTCAGCATTCTGGACCCACGGATCTGAGGCCACGGGCCAGGAGGAGAGGTCAGATTTGAAGCCAGCCCCACCTGATTGCAAAGCCCCTTTCCTGCCTGTGCCTGCCACTGGTTCCTATGTGGCCCTCTCCGGGCCTCACCTTTCTGCCTCGTCCAGTATGGGTTTGGAGCCAAGCCTCCGCTTGGGCCCTGCCCCGTCTAGCTGAGTGTGATCCCCGGTGTTCTGGGTGGGTCCCACGGCTCCCCATGGCCCAGATGTCACTCACTGGGCCGTGCTGACCGAGCACCCCCCACCCCACCCCGTGTGCAGAGATGCAGAGGGAAGATTCTTGGGCCAGGCAGCAGCCCTGCCTTCGGATCACGGGGTCTCTGGGAGCCAGGTGCCTGTGACAGGACTAGGGATATGGGGTGGCAGTGGGCCATGGCCGTCCACAGGAAGACCCTGAGAGTCCAGGGAAGGAAGGGAGAGGCTGTGTCCCGGGAAGGCCCCTGAAGAACAAGGATGGTCGAGACGGGGAGCAGAGCGCAAGGAGGACCTTCCTGGCTGGGCAGTGTTTTTTTTTTTTTTGTTTTTTTTTGTTTTTTTAAGGTTTTATTTATTCATTTGACAGAGATCACAAGTAGGCAGAGAGGCAGGCAGAGAGAGAGGAAGAAGCAGGCTCCCTGCTGGGCAGAGAGCCTGACGTGGGGCTGGATCCCAGGACCCTGGGATCATGACCTGAGCTGAAGGCAGAGGCTTTAACCCACTGAGCCACCCAGGCACCCCATGGGCAGTGGTTTTAGAACTGGAACAGCCCTGAAGAAGGACAGGGACTTGCTGGCTTTATTGGGAATCAAAGTGGGAGAGGCCGGCCAGGAGCAGAATGTAGAAGGTCGTGAACTTGGGCTCTGGGAGCTGCAGCTACATTGTCCCGGTTCCTTGCTTGGCAGGTTCTCCTCCACCCTCCCCTGCCCTTAGCCTCTGGCAGCCTGGCCTGGGGGAGGGGTGAAGCCCCGAGGGCCCTCCAGAGGGCAGCTGGCCCTGGAAAGGAAGCCACAGCCCTATCAGGCAGGCTTTTTCCATTGTGCACGGCTGAATGGCTGAATGAAGAAAGGGAAGTAGGAGTGGGGGGGAAGCAGGTGGGGCACCCCGGGTGTTCCCTCTCCTTAGCCTCCAGCACTTGTGCAGAGAGAGTGTTCTCATTAACCCCATTTCCCAGGGGCAGACACTGAGGTTGGGAGAGCTGCGAGGGGCAGCCCCAAGCCCTGCGGCTGGTAAGAGGGCAGACCCAGGACCTGAACGAGCCTCTGGTCCATCCGCAGTGCAGGGAGTGGAGCGAGGGAGGTGCCCTCTGTCTCCACTTAGGTTAGAATGAGGCCGGCCTGAAAATACCTGTGGACCGGGAAGGGGAAGAAAGTTGAAGGGCAGATCGGAGGGGGCCGTGTATGTGGGTTGCCTTGGGGGCCTGGCAGGTGCGTAGGGGTACTGTAGCGGCCGCCCTAGGCTTCCCAGGCGGAGCCCGGTGCTGTGGGTGAAAAGGAGACAGAACTCCGTGCTCAGAGCGGTTAGCTAGGCTGAGACGGGTGCCGGGAATCATACTCCCCGGGGATTCCACTCTCCTCGGGAGGCCTGCCCTTTGGGGGTGGTAAGCTCCTTGTTGGGGGCTAGGCTCTGTAGGAGACCACAGTGGGTCCCACCAGCCCAAGTTCCTGATGGAGGTGCCCGTGGTTACTGTCCCCCCTAAGAGTCATGCTGGTGTCCGATGGAACCCAGGACGCTACAGTCCCCTTGCCGTACCCTGTCCCTGGAGGCCAGCACTGCCACCCCCCAGAGCCCTTGCTTTGCAGATTGAGGCTTGCAGTGAAGAGGGGAGTATCCTGTGTGTGTTGGTGGGGAGGGCTCGCTGGGCAGAGGAAGGCGGCTGATGCTTTGAGCGGGGGTCTCTGAGACAGCCTGGGATCTGATGGGCTTAACCCAAGTGCCACCTTATGCCATGGGATGGAGATCTGTGCGTAACTGTCAAACTCTGGAAACAGCCCAGATGTCCTTCAGTGAGTGACTGGATAACCAACGGGTCCATCTACTTTGTGGAATATTACTCTGCCTTAAAGAGGGCCGGGCAGGGGAAGGTGCCCAGCAGCCCTGATGAGCCCCTAGCGTTAGGTGGAATGCAAGAAGCCGGTCTCAAATGGTTCTAGTCTGTATGAGTCTATTTATAGAACATGTTTGGAAAAACAGAACCAAAGCTAGAGGGACGGCCCACAGATCAGGGGCTGAGAGGGGTGAGGGGGGAGGGGAGGGGAGGGCCAAGGCAGGTGTCCCGGTGCGCCGTTGGTCATTCTCTGCATCTCTACACTCGCTGAAAGTCGTGTAACTGCAAAACAGCAAAAAATGTTGGTTCTGCAGTATGTAAATGAAAAAGATGAAAGGCCAGAGGAGAGGCCGGAAAAGGAAGGAGGGCGAGGGCCGGGCTCCCCGGTGCTTTCTTGGCTGAGGGCAGCAAGGCCTGGCGGCTCCCAGCTGTGGCTGGCCAGCTCTCATGGGCCATCTGGAACTGGTCCACTGGGCGGTGGGAGGGACGCCAGGCTTGTTGTTGCCTCTCTGGAGTCACAAGAAGTTGTGGGAAGTGCTGAGGCATGGGGACAACGCCTGTTCCCCTGGGGAACAGTGCGGTTAAACCCTGCATTCTCCTGTGGGGCTGGTCACCCCCGCCCCAATCACATGGCCTTGGGCATTGGAAGTGTCTTCATCACCACCACCGGCGGTGTGTGGGGAGGGGATCGCATAGCGACCCCCACTTCATAGATGAGAAACTATGAACATCACTCAGCGGAGACCCCCGAGACTGACCTGTGTGGTCAGTTTCAAACTGGAGCTGCTTGGCTACTCCCAGGCCTTACGCAAGTCTAAAGCCACATTTCCCAGGCCCCCTGCAGTTTGATTCTGTGCCCTGGGGTTTATTTGTTTGGCTGCTTTGTTTTGTGTTAAGACACTGGGAGGCTAGAAAACCAGAGGGGACCTGGGCCCATCTCTGCCTCTGGCAGCCCTGATCCGGGGCTTGGAGGCTGAGACTTGGTTGGGGCCACACACCACTAAGGTGGCAGGGTGACTGCGGCCAAGGTCCGGCAGGCCCAGCAGAGGGACGCGCGATTTCTGAGCCTCTTCTGTAAGTGAGGGTAGTGTTCCGGCCTCCCTGGAGGGTGGCTGTGGGCCTCTATAGAATGAGGTGTTGGGCATGGGGTGCCGTGGGGGGTACTGGAGTGACTCAGCCCCGTCTCTGTTGGACTTCGTTGAGCTTGGTTTCCTCCTCTGTGGAATGGGTGTAAATAGTTCCCATCGCCTGCCAGGGATGGAGGGTGCTGTGAATAGAGGAGCCCAGGGCCACCCCTGGGCCAGGTTTTGGAAGCCTTTGGCTCACTGGGGTCAACACTTTTGTCTCCTTCACATAGGTTTTGTGCTGACTGAAGGTGAGGACCAGCAGTCAACTCATCTCTGTGTCTCCCAGCCCAGTGCCAGGCACACAGTAGGTGCTCAAGTCCCAGCCCGAGGTGGAGCTGGGGGGTGGCTGGGGTGTGGGGACTGTGGGGGATCATGAGCAGACCCGGGGTAGGGAAGGGGCCGGTGGTGGGTGTCCCTGACAGGAAGGGGCCCAGAACTTTTGCCAGCGCTCCAGGCCATCCTTCCTCTGGCTCCGCTGGGCTCTGGGGTCTTTCAGACCTGGCAGGTTTGAAGGAGGTTGTCTGCGAGACAGGGAGGGAGGGCTTGTTGGACAGAGAGATGATCTGGGAAAAAATTCGGTGTGGCGCCTGGACCCCAGGACTTGGGCAGATCTGCCCTCTTCTGGCAAGACCAGCCCGGACTCCTCTTTGCCCCCATCTCCCAGGAACCTTTGGATGTGGTCTCCCCTGGGGCCTGAATGCCTTTCCTGGGCCCACACGCTCCTCCAGGGCCTTCTGTAAGGCTCCATCCCGCCTGATTACCCGGGGTGTGCTGTGTCCATGGAGGCCAGATGGGCTCACACAGCTGGAACGGCTTTCGGGACATGCTCGCCCACCCATTTTATAGATGAGGAAGCTGAGGCCAGGGAGGGGAGAGACTTCCCCTAACAGTCAGCTGGTTAGAGAGCTAAATACTAAGCCTGGGCCCCCCAGAGTTCCAGCTGCTGCCCCAGGCTAACAGGGACGTCTCAGCAGGCCCAGGGGTCAGGTGTGGCTGCCCCTGAGGTCTGGAAGCTGGACAGGACCCGTGGGTGAGGCAGGGTCTCCCTTCAGCCCCTCTGCAGACACCAGCCTCCAGGGCAAGATGGCGACCAAGCAGCCCCCTCCTCTCATGAAGAAGCACAGCCAGACAGACCTCGTGAGCCGCCTGAAGACCCGCAAGATCCTCGGCGTGGGCGGGGAGGATGACGACGGGGAGGTGCACCGCTCCAAGGTGGGCTGAGGGGTCTGAAGCCGGCCTCACCCCGGGGTCCGCCTCTGAACCCCCATCTGGGGAGGCGGGTCCAGCCTGCCATTCGGGAGACAAGTAGACGTGGTCTGTGAAACTGTGGGAGCCCCGGGACTTGGCTCATTATTTTTTTCTAGGAACTTCATGGAGATATCAGGGGAATAATGACAAAAAGAAAGATCGTTAGAATGAATTTCATGCTTACTGTGTGCCGGTTGCTGCGCCAGTTGCTTTATAAGTCTGATTTAATCTGGCTAGTCTTGGGAGATAGTTATGAACCCATTTTATCGATAAGGAAACTGAGGCTCAGAGAGGTCAAGGATGTGTGCGAGGCCACCCCAGGCAGGGGCACAGCCGGGCTTTAAGCCCATGTCCAGCTGAACCCTGAGCTTTTATTCCTACCACCATATTTTCAGCTTCCTGTAAGCTCTGGTGTCAAGAACAGGCAGAGGGAGGTGGCCTCAGTGTGACCCTCCCAGCCTGGGTGACCCTTTGGCTAAGCAGAAGTACCCAGGTGGGTCCCTGGGCATGCCAGGGGGGCTCAGGGAAGGGAGTGAATGGGCTGGGGGCACCCCTGACCCCGTCTTTGTCCACAGATCAGCCAGGTCTTGGGTAACGAAATCAAGTTTGCTGTTCGGGAGCCTCTGGGGCTGAGGTGAGCGTCGAGGGTGCGTTTGGGTGGGTGCCTGGCTATGGGGAGGGGTGCTGCGTGAGACCCCGCCTCATCAGCTTCGTCCCTGTGTCCGCGTGCCCGTGACTCCATCCCATCTCGTTCCCTCTCTCTAAAGCCAGCCATCCCTGGACATCTTGGCTGGAGAGGGGAGGGTCCCCTGGGCCCTGCAGGTGGCAGTGAGGGGGCCTGGCTGTGACTTTTCTCTCCACACCTCCCCAGGGTTTGGCAGTTTGCTTCCGCTGTGCTGTTCTCTGGCATTGCCATCATGGTGAGCCCCCACCCCCGCCCTCACCCCCGCCCCTGTGTCCCACCTCTGCGTCTCTTCTGGAGGTTCATTCCCCGTCCTGGGATCCCTGCTGCCTTCCCCCAAGGCCAGCATGCTAAGGCCCTACCTGTCAGGGCTCTCTAGCCCCCTCCCGAGTCCCAGCTCCAGACAGTCCTTCTCACCTGAACCCTGCCTGTTCTGGAGCATTCTAGATCCCAGGACCCATGTTCCTGACTCCATGCCTCTGGGAACCTAGAGCCTTCTGTCCTGGCACGGGGTGTGGGGGAGAGTTAAGGCGCTTCAGCCTGGCTTCCGGGAGGAAAGATATCCAGGAGACATTCCAACTTTCCCCTGAACTGCCCACCCTGTCCACAGGCCCTTGCCTTCCCTGACCAGCTCTATGATGCTGTCTTCGACGGAGCCCAGGTGACCAGCAAGACCCCCATCCGTCTCTACGGCGGGGCTCTCCTCAGTAAGTGTTGCTGGGGCAGACGTGATGGGCAGCTGGGGCCCCACTGAGACTGAGAGGAGCGGGAGGAAGCCGATCTTTGTGCGGGGGTTGGGGTTGGAGGGCTCCCCTCCCCTTCCCAGCACACATCAACCCCCTTCAGCCCAGGAGTCTGTCTCTGCTGGGTGTGTGCTGCCATCTTGTGGCCACTGCTGCAATGTACCCAGTGGACGGGGCGGCGTCTTTGACATCATCTGGGCAAAGGCTTTCTGAGGGCTTACTCCCTAGTGCACCTCCCGTCATCAGTCATCAGGGTGCTGAGATGAATGAGGTCCTGGCCCTGCCCTCCAGGACCTTGCCGCCTAGAGGAGGAGACAAAATCAACACAGTGCAAAACCCCTCCCACTCTTGGGCCTCTCGAGTAAACCATCCCGTTTCCTTTCTGATTTGAATCACACGTGGTGCCTGGTAGGAAGCTGAATTACAGCTTTTAAGGCCTCACCCAGGTAGCGTACCTCCTCCTCTCTGAAACATTATATGGCTCCCTTTTGCCTGCGGAATAAAGGCCCAGTCCTGTCACTTGGCTTTTGGGGTGGTCTGTGGCGTGGATCCAGCCTACCTTTCCAGACCTGCCTCCCTCAGATCCCACAGTGGGCCCCGACTCCAGCCCCATCTCATGATGCCTAGCCCCCCCATGTCGGTAGGCCATGCCTTTGTAGATGCAGTGTCCCCGACCTTGTGCTGATGGCACTAATACCCATCCCCCAAGTGTCTGCCCAGGTACCAGGGGTGGGGGGCGGGGCCTGGCGGCAACTGGGATACCTTTAAGCCCTTCACTCAGGCAGTGGGAGACCTAGGGTTATAAGGTTAAGCCGGATGATGGATGAGTTTTAATTTGGGGAGTGTGAGTAGGGGTGGAGGATGTGGAAGTCTGGGATCCTGTCCTGGCTTCGACGGGGTGGGTGGGTCAAGCTGCGTGCCCCCAGCCTGCTCTTTGCCCTTGACTGCAGGCATCTCCCTGATCATGTGGAATGCTCTCTACACGGCCGAGAAGGTTATCATCCGGTGGACTCTGCTCACCGAAGCCTGTTACTTCGGGGTCCAGTTCTTGGGTGAGTCCCAAGGTGGGCAGTGAAATGGGGAGACGGATGGGGTGGGGGATACGGGCAGGGCCACTTGGCCCCTGGCTCTCCAGCTCCCCCCATTTGGCTTCCAGGAAGGGATGGAAATCTGAAGGGGAGGGGCACACATGGCGGTGTTTACCCTTATGTGTGCACCCCTGTGCTCACACACCTGAGACGTACCTGTACCTTCTTGAACACACACACCCACATACCTACACACACACAGACATATGTCCACAGCCTCCCACACACACGTGCACCTGCAGCTTCCCATAACCCATCACTCCCTCGTGTACCCAGCACAGGTGTGACAGCGCACACCCAGTGAGGCCCACGTGCTCCCTCTCACCCCAGCATCTGTCCCGCAGGGGACATCGGACCAGATGTGTTCTTGAGGCCCGGCAGCTGGCAGGAGACCCCAGCGCAGCAGGTCATTCTGTGTTGGGGGTTGTGACACGCACCCCTCCTCTGACCTCTGTCCCTTCCCGGTCTTTCTCTCTCGCAGTGGTCACCGCCACGCTAGCTGAGACAGGCCTCGTGTCCCTGGGGATCCTGCTGCTCCTGGCCAGTCGTCTCCTTTTTGTCGCCATCAGCGTTTACTACTATTACCAAGTTGGCCGAAAACCCAAGAAAGTCTAGCCCCTTGCTGGGCTAGGGGCCCCCGTGGGGCAGGGAGACCCTGCCTGGGGCCTTGGTTTCCCTCTGGCTCCTGGAAGGCAGGAAGGACCCTGCCTGCACCAGGCCTGCCCCAGGCAGGTGGGGCCGCTTGCCTTCCTTTCCTCCTGGGCACCCCCACATGCTGTGATCTCCTGGACTTTCAGGCTTGGGGAGGGACAAGGCCTCGGCATCTCTGCCCTTCACCCCACACAGCAGCACCTCCTGTTTTTGGCTCTCTTGGCCTTCTGATCCCGTGGATAGACACTGACCAAAGAGCTTGAGTCATGGGGTGTTGGGCTAAGGAGCGGCTTCTGCCCCTTATGCCAGGACACCTTTCTTTCGTTTGGGAGGGGTGCCCTGCTTCCCTGTCCTCCCTGCACCCCAGCCACTCTAGTGCCCACACAGCTGAACGTGGCTTCTGTGTATGCCTGGAAGATCTGATCGCTCGACCCTGAGCCCATCCTCCTCAGCATGGGCCCTCCTCACCCATGGGAGCTGCCAGCTGTCCCTCCGCACACATCCCTGCCCTTCCCACCACCCCACTGCGGGACTGACGGGCAGGGACCCCTGAGAGGCCACCTGCAGCCAGAGCCCTTGCCCAGCCCCAGCCCGGCCACCACGGGCTCTGTCCTAGGGCCTCCCTCTAGGCTGCTAGAGGCGCTCAGGAGTCCCCTCCCCGCAACTGGCCTGGGTCCAGAGGCCCCCAGCAGCCTCCCCGAAGGCCGGCCTCGGCAGTGGGCATAAAGGACCCCGTGGAGGCTCCCGTGAGTGACAGGGTTTGGAGAGGAGGAAGAGAGAGAAGCAGCAGCGGCATCTCCTGGTCCCTTGTTGTGTCCTTCAGGGTCTGAGGTCCGCTTGGCTCAGCCCCTCACCTACCCTCAGCCTCTCCCTGGGGTGCTGCCCCTGAGGCCCTGCAAGCTGGGACTCGGTGTCCTTCCAACTCAGCAGGGAAACGAAACAAATATTTCCGCAGGCCGCGCTCATGTCCCCCACCCCAAGTGCCCCGGAGGAGGCCGACCCGCGGCTCCCTCAGAGCCGAAGAACCCCCTGTCCTGCCCCTGTCCCCCCGTCCCCATGTGCGTGCCCCTGTTGTCTGTCACTTCTCCTGCGCTCCTTCCCTCTGGGACACAAGTGCATTCACTGGGCATGGTGGCCCTCGTGTTCTGGTGACAGTGTGGACAAAGGCAGCCCAGGGCCCCACACTTGCTTCTCCTCTCGGAATCCAGCATGTTGGGTGGGGCAAGGCGGCTGGTGGGCAGGGGACGGCCTGGCTGCCGCTGGCCGCACCTCTGCCCGGGAACCTGGCCCTGCCCGAACTGGGCCCAGCTGTGCCCGCAGCCACGCAGCTGGTCCCTGGCACAGCTGTGGGGCTGCTGCAGGTCCACAGCTGAGGGGCGAGGCCAGGCCGCTCGTGACCCGCTGAGCAGAAGGGAGAGGCTGGGCTCTTCCCTGACCTCCGCCTCCTGCCGCTGTCACGTGGTCCGCTACTCAGAATCCAGCTGCTTGCTCACAAGCCCTGGCCAGGGAGGGCACCCACTGCCCCGTGGCCACACTCCTGTCCTCAGCCTGACCCTAGCCTTTTAAGGCCTGTCTCATCCTCTGATGGGGGATGGGTGGTTTGTCCTCGTCCCCAGTGGGCACGGTGGATCGGTGTCCCCAGGGTCGATGGCAGGGAGGTAGAAAGTTCCAGCTTATCTGTGGGGCTCTGGGGGCTGTGCTGGCCTCACCCCCGCAAGCTCCCTCTCCCCGCTGGGTGCACTGGGGCAGGCTAGAGGGCCGAGCTCGGCCTTGCCCCTTGGGGTTTGGTCAGGAGGGCCTGCTGGGATGCAGGGCCTGCTGGGATGGCTTGTGCTGCTGGCTTAGACATCAGAGCTGGGCCCAGGGGGAGGGAGCCTGGCAAACAGCCAGTGGTCTGGGGACATGGGGGATGTGGGGGACACTAAGCAAGGAGCCATTACTGGGATGGAGGCAGTGACAATGGGGAGGGGGACCCACACATCTGAGGAAGACCCAGGGTGGGCCCGTGCTCCATCCTGAAGGTTTGTGGAGATACCCCCCCAACCCCCAGCCCACCACTCTCTATCCTTGTCCCGGAGCCCAGCACCCTCCGGCCAAGCTGCTGCCTCTGCCTCCCCCACCCCACCCAAGGAAGACCACCTTTCTTCACAGTCACTATTTATTCTTTGTTCCTTCTTTTTGTAAGAAACAGTCACAAAAACCAGTGCAAAACCATCAGTGTGGGTGTCCTGTTTTATATTACAAAAAACTCCTCTTGATATAGAATATAAAAAGGGGGGGATCACAGGAAATAAACATGATAAATTAGTGAGGAACATTTACAGTTTTCAAAATAGACTTTCGACCTAGGACCCATGGGGGAAGGGAAGAGGGGGCTTCTGGGAGATGGGTGCTGGGGCCTCGGCTGGTTTGGAGTCTCCGGTCTGGGCCCCTTAGGCATGGAGGAGCGAGAGGGACAAGAGAGCCTCCGAATCCCTCAGATGACTTCTGTTTCCCAAGATGCACACGCTCTGGAGCAGAAACCTGGCTTTCAGGCCAGGCTGTGTGGGTGTGACCAACAGCGGGCCTCTGCAGGCGGGCTGGAGGAGGTCTCCTTAGAGAGGTATCCCTAGCTCCACAGCCCCGTGGCCCTGCAGCCAGACCACCGCCAGCAGGACCTGTCCTCTATGACAGGTGCTGAGTCTGTATGTGAACCGGCCCAGTTAGATCGCAGTGCCTGGGAAGGGGGCAAGCCAGACTGGGGCTGGGCTCTGTCCTTCACCCTCGGACGGGTCGCAGGCAGCCTCGCAGATGGTCATGGCTGGAGGCTGCCCACTCGCCCTTTCCAGCCCCTGTGTGGGCAGCGGCGGACTCCGTGCTCCTTGGTGCCTTTCTGAAAGCTCTGGGGGACGAGGCTCACCATCCGCCCTCGAACCTGCCTCAGCCTGATGTTCCTCTGGGATCTGTGCTGCCTCCCACCGACCTTCCTGGGGCCGACAAGGGGTGGGAAGAATGGACACGACTGGAGATGGGAAGAGTGCATGCCAGAGGCCAGGCCTTTCTTACCTTGAAGTTCCCAGATTCTCCTGGCTGGTAGGGGACTAGAGGGGACCAGGAAGCCTGAGATGCCCCTAGATTAGAGCCACACAGCTGCCCCACGAGACCCTGAGTCCAGCTGTTGTTACTTTTGCTAAGCTCAGACCAGCCCTTTGCCTCTGCCAGGAAGCTGGAGCTGAGCATGTGGGCGGGGGATGGGTCTAGAGAGGAGCAAGTCCAAGGTCCTGCTTGTGCTGGGCTGGGCTACCCGCTAGCTGCAGAGGGCTCTGGGTCCCAGGGATGCCCGGTCGCTGGGGAGTTCATGGCCACACGTCTGGACTTCCAGGGACAATATGGAAAGCCCCTGCTTGGAGACCAGGAGCAGGGCCTGGGACTGGGAGAGAAGGGGGCAGCATCAGGATGGGATGGGGAAGGGGAGAGATGGGGAGGATCGTTACAGCAGGCACAGAGCTCAGGGCTGCATCTGTAAAGGGGGCTGGTGGCAGAGCCAGGAGGCATGGGGCTCCAGGCACAGCCCTGTCTCTCCCGGGGGCTGGCGGGCTGGGAGGCTGGAAGCAGACACAGGGTCTGGGATCCAGAATGGGCTCTCCCCAGACACCGAAGAGGGACTGTGGGGGAGGACAGCAGGCTCTGTGTTGCCCCTCCCACTGCCATGCCGTCACTAATCAAGCCTTGATTGTCTGGCCAACACCATCGATCCCCACACCACTGATCGGGATGACGCTGTCCTTCCCTCCCTCCCCCAACCGTGCCCAAACCTCCGATCCTCTGAACAGACCTGGCAGGCAGTCCTGATTCACTGGGGTGGAGGGATCTTGCAATACAGTTGCCAATACTGGTCTAGAATGCACGGCCTGTGTTTGAGGGACTGGTCTGTGGGTGCTGTGTGGGTGTGGGTCTAGGGGAAAACACCTCCCTACCTCAGCCTGGAAGAAACACTCAGAAGTGTGCTAGGACTCATGAAGGGTCAAGAAGCCATTTGGCAGCAGAAATGAGGTGTCTTGGAGCTCTTTTTAGCTGGAGAAAACGCGGATTGGGGGAGGCACTGTGTGGCCTTAACACTTTGGGGAGGGAGGGCAAGTGGAATGCCACAGGTGGAAGCAGAGAAAAACAGAGAACTCTCATGTGCACTGAGCTGATGCTAAGAAGTCAAAGCAGTCCAAAGACAAGTCTGTCTCAGGAGGTAGAAAGCTCCCCGTCCTTGGAGGTATGCAAGAAGAGGGTGGTGAAGTCTTGGCAGAAATCTTGTGGAAGACATCCAAGCCTCAGTTCTGGGAGGGGAGAGGAGAACCAGATGGTCTTGGGGATTCCTTCCAGCCCTGGGAGCCACAGAGTTGTTGGGAAACAGGGAAAGGGCTGGGCTTGTGGGAAGAGGTGGGCAGTGTAAAAAACTGACTGTAGTGTGTGTGTGTGTGTGTGTGTCCCTGGGGGCTTAGAAAGAAGTATGGGGAGGTGGGAAGGGAGGACAGTCCAGAATTTTCTTAGCTGTGGAGCTGGTAAGTTCTTGACCAGCTTGCTTTCTCTCTCCTGGGGAAGCCAGGATGCTGAGGCCAGGGAGGGGTGTGAGCATCAGACCTGCTGGGACCTACAGAGCCCTGGAAGGTGCAACAGGCAGCCAAGGGACCACTGGGTTCTTGTTCAGAATTGTCATGCATATGCTGTGTGACTGAATGTAAAATGGCCCCTCTCTGGGCTTTCCGGATTATTTGATCCAACAGCTGAGGGAAGCAAGGACTCTGCCAGCTAGGCCACACTTGGATCCAGTGTCTGCAGCCCACTCTTGACCCCAGCCCGAGGCAGGGACAACGCCACCAGAGGACCAGAGGTTGAACGTAGGTTCCAAGTTCTTAAGGACAAGGCGACCGAGTCTCCTTGGGGCCCTGGGGGGCTTTGTCGACCTCTGAGAGTTGCTTTTGCCTTTTGTTGTCTAGATCTGCACTTTCTTGGCAGCTGGAGCTGAGGAGAAGGCCCAGGCCCGCGACTGCCAGAGGCTGGTGGGACCGAGGAGGGAACCTGGCCCTGGGGTTCCTTTGGTCTCTAGTGCAGACAGCTTCCTGGGGTTTAGGCGCCGGGCCCCTGAAGAGAGCCCATGGCACCCACCCGGAGACCAGGCCGGGTCTAACAATCGTAGTTTCGTCTTCATTTTTTTTGTTAAAAAAATAGCTATTTTCCTCTGCCCCTTCTCCTGCCCGCTTATCGTGATCTCACCTCCTCCCCTGGGGCCAAGCGGGCAGGGGCGCGGGGGAGGGGAGGGCGTCGGGGGCTGGGCAGCGGTGGTGGGTGAGGCTTCAGGCTCCAGGTCACGTCCTCTACTGGATGCCCCGGAAGAGACACATGGCAAAGATCATGGCGAAAAGCTGCAGAAGTAGAAGTTGGCTTGTCAGGCTGGGCTTCCAGCCTGGCATGGGGCTGTCCCCTCCCAAGGGGAAGTAATCATCGGCCCAGCAAGGGGGCTCACCCATCACTGGGCACACTCCTGCGGGAGGATTCCTGGGGGCAAGCACCTTTTGCCAGCCACTGGCCTTTGTTGTGCAGCAGAGTCATGGAAAGAAGGGGGCTTTGGACATGGGTTCAAATCTAATTCCTCTATTTGCCAGCAGCAACTTGGGCCAAACGCATCCCTTCCATGAAGCCTGAGAGCTTCCCATGCGCCCAGCCCAGTCCTAAGTACTTTCTCAGAAATCTTCAACAGAGCAGAGGCAAGGCACAGAGAGGTCATGCGACCCACCTAAGGTCACACAGCGGCAAGTGTGGGAGCGGGGGGTTGGGTCTATGCTCTGACTCTGCAGCCTATACTCAGAAGTCCCATGCACTCCTCTTTCTAGCTCTCAGGAGCGGGGGAAGATGTAGCCCTTGCCAGAGTTGAGAGCACTATGACCCAACACCTCACTAGGGCCCTGGGTGGGAGGGGGTTGGGGGGTAGGGCAGGCAGAGACCCAGATTCAGGGATGCCCCTCTGACTAGAATGGCTGAGGCCCCCACAGGCAGGGGTCTTGCGTGTAGCAGAAGGGACAGTCCCCAGACCACAGGCTCCTCTGGTTGGGGAAGCGGCATGGGCAAGGTGAGGCTGGGACAGCGATCCAGTAAAAGTCCCTTTTTGGGAGCAGATTCCTGCCTCCCTTCGGGATGCAGCTAGGCTTGTGGGCCGGTGGTGAGGACAGCAGATCAAGAATACAGACATTGTCTAACAAGACTCTAGGACAGCCTGGCCAGGCATGGAGTCCTCACCCTCTGCCATCCTTAGGACGCCCAGCCGCAACCGTGGCCTGGGAACACAGTAGTAGTACCATTTTGCAGAAGGGTCCTCTATAGCTCAGAGGCCCCCTCTGGGGAGAGGCAGAGCTGGGAGTCATCCCCAAAAGCCCATGTCCTTCCTGAGCGGGACACATGCCTGTGATTCCCGCAGTCCCAGCAGATTTATCTGTCCCTGTTCATTGTGTCCCCCTGCCCTATGAGAGACCCGCTTTACCTGGAACGATGCTGGCATACAGTAGGGACTCAATCTATGCTTGCCGAATGAACGAATAAATCACCCCTCCCCCCCCATCCCCAGTAGTCTCCACAAAACGGCTCCACGCGGGGCTGGAGGACGCCCTGAGAAGCTGAGCAAAGTGACATTTCTGGTGCGGGGCATTCTGGACACCTACTCTCCCCCCTACCCCCACCTGCCTAAGGAGGGACAGGGAGGCTGTGGCTCGGGCTGCCTGACTTCGTTTCCCCGCGTGCCCAGGCCTGGCTGAGGCCCAGGAGTGGCCTTTCCTGGAGATGGTCAGTGCCAAGTCCGGGAGCTGGCGGGAGAAGGGAGGGGCAGCTCCGTCCGTTGGCGGAAGCGCCACCTCGTGGCGGCGGCCGGACTCTGCAGCCGCCTCCCTTTCATGCCCCCCCCCCACCCGCCACACCCCGGACTGGGGAGAAGGGGGTTCATTAAGACCACCCTTGTGAGGTCGACGAGGCCCCAGAGGCCCTGAGCTTCCCACAGAGAAAGGGGCCTGATCTGGACGCACAAGCCGCAGCCCCTCCCACAAGGCAGCGGTGTTGATTCTCCGTCAAGGGTTCACTCTGGACCTTGGGGGAGGCTTAGCCAGAGAGGAACAGGGATGGGGTGGGGGGCTGCGGGGGGCAGTGGGAGGAAGACTGTGGGATGACTCTCAGAGCCTGCCAACTCACTGCTGGAGGCTTGCTCAGATGAGCCCAGAGTCCTACAGTGACTCGGGCAACAGACAGACTCCCCTGGGCTTCCCATACCACAGTCCCTGCAGCGGGGGACCCATTGGGTCCTGGATTTAGGATGTGGAGACTGAGGTGGGCTGGGCAGTGCAGGCTATGGGGGATCTCCCCGAGACCCTGTGTGTGCCTTGCTTTTGGGGAGCCAGAGAAATGGGGGACTTTTACTTACCTCAATGGCCAGCACTCCTATGGCGAGGGCTCCAGCCAGGTAGACATAAGTTTCAAAAGTGTTGAGGATCACTGTGTAACAGCCCTGGGAAGGAAGGACCAGAGGTGAGGCCATAGCTGGAGACAGTCTGGGGTAAGGGGCCAGCATCAGGACCGAAGTATGAAGCCTGGGAACTGGCCTGGGGCCCCAAAACTCGGGCAGCAGTAGGCTTACCCTGTTGAACCCCTGTTGGCACCTTTGGGTGGGCCTCCCCCAAGGTCCAGAGCCCATCCCTCCAGGCCCCTCTAAGTGGACGGATTCCTGTGCTATTACTGATCTCTCAAGCAGTGCTGGGGATACACACACTGAGACAGAGGTGGATACAGACACATGGAGAGAGCGGGAGTGGCCCTTTTGATGCCCTCACCTTGAGCCAGTCTTGCCCTGCTCACTGTGCTCCTGCCCTACTGGCCTTCCTCTGTTGGTTCCTGGAGCACACCCCATGTTCTTTCCCACCCCAGGGCCTTTGCACATGCTGCTCTTGCTCTCTGGCTGGAATGCTTTTCCCATGCCGGGAAAAATGAGGGTGTAGCACTTTATGTGGACAGTTATAGCAGCCCCCACACTCACAACCTGCCAGGGAGCACGTGGGGGAGCACTGCGGATAAAGGAGAGAGATGTGATGCTGTGGGGAGAGAGGGCTTAAGATCACCCACAGAGATGGGAAATATGGATGGTTTCCTATTTGTGGTCACCCCTCTGGCATGGAGTCAAGCTCTAGCAAGGTCATCATCTACTGGGAGACCCCCTGATTCGTTTCCAGCAGGAGAACACATCCCTGACTTGCCTGGGTGACTGTCTTGGCCCAGGGAAGGTTGAGAAGAGCCGGAGAAACTGCTCTGGTGGGTTTGAGTCTGGGTATTCATTATGGGTCACCTTCTTGAGGGATTTGCTCATTTCTGCTCATTAGAGGTCAATGGTAAACAGTGGTGGACTAACTCAACATCCACAGAGGAGTGCCTTCTGCTTCGGCCCTTGGTGGCCATGTAACCGAGTCCTGGCTATCCAGGTCTATACAGATGTCCACTGGGGCTTTCTGGGAAAGACAGTGGTGCCACACTTTCCCTTCTCTCTGTCTTAAACGTGGCTGGGATGTCTGGAGCCATGGCAGCCGTTTTGCCACCAAGGAAAGGCCACAAAGATTATGGAGGCCAGGCTTTGACAGACAGGACAAAGCTACTGATGTAATGGGGAAAGCCATTGCCTTCCAGAATTCTTGCTATGTGTGAAACACAGGGGGCATCTGCATGAGCCCCTTGAGGTGGGTTACATTCAGACTTTTACTCACTGATTCAAGACTGGGATGGGGATGCCAAGGAGAAAAGGATTCCAGAAAAGGATCTCATGAGAAACAGAAGCACCACGAACTCAGGCAGCTGCACAGGGACCTTCCCAAGGAGCTCGGATTCCAAAGTCATGCCCAGGAGACGGAAGGGGGTGTCATCATTGAGGATGAGCCCAGAAATAGGAAGCTTACGAGGGTGAGACTCTACAGGAACAGGGCCCATGAGGAGCCTTCCTGAACAATCCACAGGTGGCCTCAGGACATCGGTTTGGCTCTGGGCGCCGGGTATCCCAAACAGCAGGGCCTTAGACAAGCTAGACGTTCCTTTGCCTTTTGTAGAAAGCTGAGGTGGTCCATGTGTTTTGTGGAGCTGTCCGTGGCCCAGACTCCTCTCCTAACGCCCTGACAACCTAGGGGGACACCCTTCATGGCCAGGTCCTGGGGGAAAGGAGGAGGGACTGGCCCAGGGCTTTCTCTTAAGGACGGGACACAAGCAGTACCCTTGTACCACTTCTGCTTGCCTCTCCTTGGCCACTGCCTGGTCCCCTGACCTCACTGCCGGGGAAGTAGGAAGTGCCACTTTTCCCTGGTGGCGATGGCATCACGCCACCTTTCCAAGGAGGACAGCCAGTTGGCTCTGCGACGATATGAGGAAGCTGAGGTCCAGAAAGGGTGTCATGGTCCAGGCTTGCCGGACCTCAAAGCCTGAGCCCTCCCGTGCCTCCCCTCCATGTCCTGCAGCCTCTCTGGGAGGCTGAGACCCAAGCCCCTTGGTGGCCCTCCCTGCCCCGAGCTCACAGTGGCCTGATCTCAGGGCCCCTGAATGTCATCACCTGATACCATGTGTGCGGCAGGGAGTGGTGCTAAGTTCCAAGCTGTATCCGGAAAGACCTCATCAGAGGGCCCGGGGCAGGCCTCAGCATGCGGCCCCCCTCCACGGGGCTCTCCGAGGCCTGCCCTGTGGCCCCCATCCCAGGCCCTTCCAGCTTGGCATCTGGTTTTCTTTTCTTTTTTGTGATCATAACCATGTGAAATTATTACTTCTAGTTTGCTCCTTGGTTAGCATGAGCTTCCTTCAACTAGATCATGAGCCCCTTGTCTCCTGCCTCCTGCTGTGTCCCCTGCATCTGGAAGTTTCCCAGGAGAGCCTCATGAGAAGCCTAATCAAGGGAGGGGTGTGGGGTGTGTCCTGGGCTCATCCTTGTTCTCCCCCTGACACCCCCTGCCTGGTCTCTCACACCCCCATCGAGGGGCCAGGGGCCCAGGGAGGATTGCTGCTCCGTGGGAGGGAGGCACCAAATACAAGGGCACGATTTGTCTCACAGCGGGGGTGGGGGGGAAGCAGGTGCCGTGTGTCCCCCAGAGACGGCACGTGCCAGAAAGAAAAGGCTTTCTTCCCAGGACCCAGATAAAGTCCTCAGGTGGCAAGAGAAGCAAAGAGTCTGATAGTTTCCCTGACCTTGGAGGGGAACCTTGCCCCCTGGGGGTCAGAAGGGGCTTCTATATGGCACAGAAGGTGAGCTTCCCCCAAAATAAGATCTAAGGAGGGGCCCCCTCTATGTAATTCAGTTTGGGCTCCAACCAGCACTGTCAGAAGCTCAGGGAGAGCCCCGCCTGGAACACAGCGGAGTCTCAGCTCCCCTTCAGCCCCAGACCAAAGGCCCACTCCTCCGGCTGGGCCATCGCGGCCCCATCTGCCACCCTCATCCTTCCTCTACTTCAGCTGGATCCCAGGGGCTTGCTTCCTAGCCCCACTGAGGAGTCGCCTACAGTGACCACCCCTCCAGGCGATGGCTGGGGTGCTCCAGAGCCTCCGTGCCAGCATCGCCCCCCCCCCCCCCACCCAGCTCTGGCCATCCAAGGCCCCCTGCCTGGGGAGCAGGGCCTGGTACCTGCTTGTTCAGGAACAGGTCCCTTCCCAGCAGACACTCCTCCCTGCTCAGCAGGACCCCATCCCGAGTCTGCGGTTCTCTCCGACAGCAGGCCTCAGGCACCTCGTCGCTGTCCAGAGTCAGCAGTCGGAAAACTGATGCAAACCGGAAGTCTTCGGGCCCGTTGACGCCACAGCAGCCAAACTAGGAGGACAGAGAAGGGAAGAGTCTGGCAGGGGAGGTGGTGGGAGCTGGGCCCAGGGGGCAGAGGTGGCCAGACAGCCTCCCTCAAGACCCCCATAAGGCAAGGAGCAGAGTCAAGACTCAGCTAGGGGCTGACTCTGTCTGCTGCTCCTGTGTGACCCTGGGAAAGTCACTCAACCTCTCTGAGCCTCCAGTGCCCTTCTGTGTAAAATGGGGGGTGATGGTGACAATGACAGCCCAGAACGCTGCGTGGATGGCGATTCTGAGGCCCAGTCTGGGCTCAGTGGGCCAGCCCTGATCAGTTGGTGATGTCTGGTACAGGTCCGTGAGCCAAGTGGGCTCTGGAGGCAGAACGGTCGCTGCACCTGGCATCATGGCTTTGAATGCTCATGGCATCCCTGGGGGCGTCACTCACCGTGATCATGACCGAGTTCCAGGTGGCAGAGAAGACATCTGTGTCATTGTTGCCCTGGTAGTGCTTGGTGAGCTCCTTGGTGAAGAACTCGCGCGTGAGCTGGAGGGAGAGGCAGAGTGTGGGCTAAGATCCCCCTCCCTGCCACCAGCAGCTTGGGGCACCCTGCCTCAGCCTGGTCTCTTCAGCTAGCTGCTTCTGGAGGAGAGGCAAGGCCTCAGGGCCCCAGGGTCGGGGATTCTCCCAAGCCACTACCTTGGGGTGGCTCCTGAGTCCCCACTCCAGGGTGTGTGCCCCCCAGCCCCGATCACTGGGAGCCCCCGGATCACCAGCTGGAATAGGAAGTCGACACACACACCTCTGGGCGGCGAGCCCAGAAGCTCTCTCCACCCTGCAGCTCTTCTCAGAAGCAGGGTTTATCCAGGGTGGGGGACTTGCCCCTCACCCCACTCCCTCCCCTCTAAGCTGTTCCTCAGAGGCACGTGTGCCCCAGGTCCCTGGCCCTGAAGAAGGGAGTCTGCAGATCCGGTTTCCAAAGGTCCTGGGAAGGCGCCCCCGCCCTCCACATATTCTCCTCGGGCCTCCCCACCATCCTCCCTTCCATCCTCCCTGCTGCCGTGAAAGGACTGGGCCCCGCGTGGTGCCGGCTGGAAGGCTGCCTCTTCCTCTCTGTCCACGGCTTGCCTTCCTGTTCCTCCGGACCAGCTTGTGTGTCCAGACCCCTCACCCCTCTCTTTCCCTCCCCCTCCTGTTTCCAGGCATCCCCCGTGGCTGGCCGTGCCTGGCTCCTATAGGCTCAGGACGGGGCTGGTGCCCTGGGTGGTTGGAGCTCCTGGAAAAAGGTGGCTGGTGAGGGCAAGTTGCCCAAACTGCATACTGGCCGGGACCTCAACCGAGAGGGCCCTGCTCTGTCCTCCTGCATGTCACATACCCCAGGGCCTGGGGACAGCCTCGCCAACTAGCCTCTGCCAAACGACTATTGCTGGGCATGCTATGGAATGGAAGATTCCAGAATCAGGTGTGGGTTGTATCAGGTGCTTTGGAAGAGCAGAGACTCTAAAGGACCTTCTGATTCTACCTTCTGGAAACACCCTCGCAGGAAGAGGGTCTCTGGGGTAGTGGGTCATGATTTGGGCTGGAATTGCTGGCTGAGAGGCTGCCGACTCTGCGAAACCCTGTCTGAGGAGGGGAGGGGCTGGTCCCCAAGGGAGGCCAGGGCAACGGGGGCGGGGGGGCCCGCACTTACATTTTCCCTGAAGATGAAGGCCAGGATGGCCGCTGAGAGCTCCGCCAAGAAGATGATGAGGATGAACAGGAAGAACTGTGAAGAGAAGTTCGTTGAGCCCTGAGGGTGGTGGGAAGGGGACAGGCGACTGCTCGCTGATGTCCCTGTCCACCTGTCACACGGTTGACCCAAGGTACCAATTTCATGAGACGAGGGACCCTCACTGCCCTACCTCAGACATTTTTTCATAAGCAGCCTACCAACAAGTCATCTTCAGAGTCAGCAAGCTTATAATACAAATAGGAAAGAGTAAACAAACAAATATGGCTTCCGGGCAAATGGCACCCCTTCCACGATGCCCCTTGTGCAGTGTTCAGCCTGAACAACGTCACCTGGTAGCCCTGGAAGGTGATTGAAGTTGACCTGTTTGGGCCCTCTCCACATGGAAATCTGGAGTTCCTTGGGGACCCCAGACTGGCTCCCCAGCCCCCGTACCCCCAGCGCCACCTCTCCCTGCCTGACCACCTCTCCTTTCCATGAGCAGTGGGGAATTGATGTTGACCTTCAGGCACAATAAAGGAGCAAGACGGGAGGGGAAGTGATGGGCCCATTAACACCGGGAAACACAGGCGCTGGAGTCTGAAATCTAACAGACCCCTCTCTGCCCTACTCACTGCACTTCTCGACGTTCTCCAAATTGTCCACGATGCCTCCTGCCTGGTGGCCACCCCCCCTCTGCCAGGAAGGCTCCTCCCTTCCTCGTCCACCAGCTCCTCATTTTCCAGACCAGGCTCAGCCCAGCCCCTCGCCTGGTGGGAAGCCATTCCTGGGGTCCCCCACATCGCAGTGCCCCCCAGAGATGCCTGCCCAGCAGCTGCTGCAGCCCCCACCTCCCCAATATCACGAACAGAAGCATTCCCCATGCCTGCCAGCGAAGGTGATGGTACACGGCTGCCAGATGGACAAATGATCCCGGACTGACACGCTCACCCTAATGACCTTGTTCTCTGCCACATTGCAGACCACGGTCAGTGTGGGCATTGCTTTGGCTGAGAGCCATGGGAAGAAGGAACAGGAGATGACTTTGCCTTCATCACTCCGCGTTGCAGAAGCCCTCGGCATTTCTGGTCTATGGCCATCCCGGAGCGGTCAGCCCACCTGGAGACCACCAGCAGAGGACCAGATCCCCACTGCCCACGGTTCCTGCACACCCTCCCAGCCCCCACGGCCAGCTGCCCTGAGATGTGCCGGGGCTGGAAGGAGGCGGGAGTCCTGCCTTCAGTGTCAGGACAACTCAGCCTCCTTGCCTCCCTTCATGTGGCTTGGGATAATCATGAAAACTCCTTTGAGCCTCAGTTTCCTTGTCAGTAAAATGGGGATGCTCACATCCGCTCCTGGGACCATCATGGGGAATCCTGAAGTAAGGGGTGTGCACGTTTCTGTCTGTCGTCAGAAGCTGAGCAAAGCTTGTCGCTGAGCCTCCTCCAAGTGTAGAAGGACCTCGGAAGCCAGCTCCCATGGGAGCCCCGGAGGGCCTGGCTGTCAGGGGTTCGCTCAGTGCCGGCTTCCCCACAGACACCCGTTGCTGCTGGCAAGCCCCTGGTACCCCTCCCCTGGATCGCATCTCTTCCAGGTGGAAGAAGGTTTCTGTCGCTTCATCCTCATCCCAGGAAGACCCCAGTCTTATTCCCTCCCTGACTTTGCAGCTCTAACAGCCGCCGCCCTGTGCAGGCCCTGGGGTTTCTCCGAACTGCTTGGGCAGCGGACAGAGAGCCTTGGGATGGATTTCTAGATGGTCTATCCAGGGTGGGGACAGAAAACAGCCCCGAAACCTGTCAATGGCTTCATTTGTTTTTAAATGTCCCACCCCAAGGAGGACGGCTTCACTCCCCGTCCCTAATGGTCTCCTTCGGCAGCGGGCTCACTGGTCAAGCTGCCTCCCACGTGGGCTCCGGCTCACAGACGCTTGGTCGGCTCTCGAAGCCGATGTCCATCCCATGGCCTTTCTCTTTAGCCCACACACTGGAAGAAACAAGCCAGAGAAGGGAATGACTATTCCAAAGGTGGGCAGCCCGAAGATGCCAGAGCAAAACCTTTCCTCTTAATCCGGCAATCTGTTCTGCCTCTTCCCTCTCTGCTGGAAAGCACGTTCGGGACTGGCCTGAGGGATCGACTCTTCTGAGCCCTGGGGGTCTGCTGGGGGCAGAGTCCCCGCCCACCTGGAGGGGAGAGTCCCAGAGGGCCTCCTGTGCCCCGGGGCAGGCTGTCCCCCACCCCCGGCCCCATTGGACTCCCACTGTCCATTCTGCCAACCCCATCAACCCCACTTCCACGAGAGTCTGCCGGCTCTCATCCCCGTGACCGTGAAAGGCCCCAGGCAGGCCTCCTGGCCCTTCCCTGTGGTCGGTGATGGATGGGCGCCGGCCCTGTCTTACACAGCCTGCACGGGACCTCATCCCTGCCCTTGCCCTCTTGGTGGAGTCACTGGCAGTTCCCAGGCTCGCAAAGAGCAGCCCTGGAAATGGTTTCCATCCTCAGTGAGGCGACGGAGCTGGCTCTGGCTACGGATCACAGCTGAGATGGTTAGAAAGTGCGGATGAGCCAGAGCCTAGGCCGTGTGCACGCTGCGTGCTCAGCGGCCCGGGAGCGTGGTGCCCTCCTGGACAGTGAGGCTGGGGGCTTTGCACAAGGCCGAGGCCGGCGCAGCAGAGAGCCGCTCAGAGGGGGGTCAGAACCAAGAAGCAGGCACAGCTTTCCCGAGGGCGAGGGCTGGTGCAGCCAAGTCCCAAGACAGTAATGCCAGCCAGCCCTACTGAGAGCTCACCACTGAGGTGCTGAGGACAGTCCAAGGCTCCTTTCCCGGGGTGCTCTGGGCAGCCTGGTGAAGCCGCCGTGGTTACCACCAACCCCTCCGGTTACCCAGGGGGAACCTGGGACCCAGAGTGCGTAGCACATAGACCCATAAGAGCCTCCAGGTCTGAAGACTTTCTGATGGCCTGTAGGGTTTTCCGTGGACCAACCTAATGCTTTCAGTTTCACATTTGTCAGGTGCTTGCCTGTGCTGGGAACAGAGTTAAGCAAGATGCACATTTTCTCCTTGAGCCGTGGTCACAACACTGCGGCTGGGAAAGCGGTAGCATCATCTCCATTTTACACAAGAGGAACCTAGGTTCAGAGAGGTTAAGTAACCGCCCTCAGGTCACACAGCCAGGAAGTAGCGGAGCAGAGATTAGAACCTAGACTTTTCTGACTCCAAAGCCCATGCCCTTACCACGCCTCTAAGACCACCTCCTCTCTGTCCCTTTATTCCAGGGCTACTCATTGAGCACCTAGTGTGTACCAGGCGCTATGCTAGGCCCTGGCAAACTCATATACACAAGGCAGATGTGGTCCTCAGCAGCACGCAGCTTACGTTGAGCTGAGGTTCATGATTCCTGAGATGCAATTCAAGAATGAGCCTAGTAACTCACTGAAGGAGAAAGGAGGGCTCTCCAGAGGGCGAGGGCCTGCAAATCTCCATTGCCATTGCCATTGTCCCCTCCTGGAGTAGGGTTTCCCCAAGCCCTAGATGCCACTTCTGCCCTCTGGCCTTCTCCCCAGGAAATGACTTCCTCTTGCTTACCAGGGTTACTGCTGGTTATCTGGAGGGGCTCCCCCTGGATCCGGCCACAGGGCTTGTCCTGACGCCCGGGGCCTTCCCAGACTTCCCCTCATGAGGCAGGGCCTTTCCCAGGGGTTTTGAGTTAATCTCGCCTCATCCCATTTGCCTAAGGACACATTTGCCAGTAATTCCCGAACCTCAAATGTCACCATTTTGCTTCGGATGGAAAAATTAACGAAGGGAAGGAAACTGCGATTTTGCCTCCCCCCACAAACATTTCCAGACTTTTCTAGCCTATCTGCCCATGGGCACATTTAGTTTCAGTTCTCATTTCTAACAAGTGTTTACCAAATTTACATCCTTTTTGTGTCATTCAGCTCATTTATGTCTTCTAAGTACACACATCTCAGTTTGCTGTTCTCCTTTCCGACCTAGCATCTTGGTCATCAAAATATAAAAAAAATTTTTGAATCTCTAAATAAAAAGATTAAAAACCTGCTGTGAACGACTCCTAGGCAAGCAACCATGAGAAAGGTATGCCACAAAATGCCCATTACAGGCTGAGATTGTCCTATTGTATGTGAAAAGGGTGTAAAATTGATCGACGGGAGGGTTTGGAAACTGTACCTTTAGAAAAATTGATCATTAGGTGATGTGGTCATTAGGCTGAGGGTGGTGGGGCCCTGGGGTTTCAGCCTCAGCGTGGGGGTAGGGGAGGGGATGCTCTGTTACCCCAACCCCAGCTCTCCCTATCGGCCCAGATGGTCAAAGTCACTCCCTCTAGGTCCTGTTCATGACAAGTCCCCCTTCCTCCCTGAAGGTTGAGGAGCAGGCTGCCAGGCTTCTCGAAGGCCTCCGGCAGCCACGAGGGGTGGGACTTGGTGCCCCTCTTCAGCTGGGACCACCACACGGCCAGTTCTTGTCAGAATAGAGAAGTGGTTCTTCTTATTTTTTGAAGTCATGAGTCTTTTTGAAAACCTTCCAGAAGTCATGGCATCTCTCCCCAGAAACATACATGTTCACACAACATACACACACATATAGACACACACACACACACACACACACACAAGGCTCTAACGTAATATTTTGCACATAATTCTAGGTGAATTTCAGACATGTGAGTCTGTTTTAGGCCTGAGACACAGGGGACGTGGGTCCAAGAGTCCCCCGTCTATGACTCGCACTGAGATCTCAGTCTAATAGGCGCTGGCCTTCAGAGAGGTGAGGAGAGGGATGGGAGGAGAGGGACAAAGGGGAGGCGAGAGGACACAGGGGAAGTAGGGAGAGAGGGGCAGAGACTAGGAGAGCTCAGGAGAAGGATAAGGAGAGGCAGCAGGAATAGAAAGCAGGAGAAAAGAGGCAAAGAGACAGAGGTAGAGAAAGAGCAAGAAAAGAAAAGGATGAACGTAGGTGGGTCTCCTAGATCTCGAGACTAACAGAGAGAAAAGGGAGGACGGAGAAGGTGGCAGAAGAGAGGGGTGGAAGGGGCTGCCTTAAGGACTGGGCCCTGGCCATAGCTGGGACTCAGCTGTCCCTTGGGGGGCTGGAGGGAACCTCAGCTGGTCCCTGGGTCTTGGTCTTCTCCACAGAGACTGATGTGCCCATCTAGTGGCCGGCTCAGAGGCTGCCTGTTTGTGGAGAGGACTTTTGAGACCCCCAGCCTGCTCCCAGCGCAGTGCCCGGGCCTGCCCTCCTGTCTTGGCTTCAGGGATGAGATCCAGGGGGTGGCAGAGCTGAGGCGAAGCGGGAAGAAGAGGGACTGGCATGACGTGGGACCCACATCCCAGCTCCTTTTAAAGTCCCCACGGGCTCCCAAGCCTCCGTGGGCATCCCCCCGGCGGGGGGGGGGGGGGGGCCGCTAGAGAGGGCCTTCCGCCAGGGGGCGCCAACAGGTTTCTTTGTTTCTCTCCAAATGCAAAGTTTGCTGTGTTCAGGCCGCTGAAGGCCAAAAGGGACCTGGGCTCCAGAGTCACACATCTCACAGCTGATTTCACTTCCTGCTTGGGATGTGGGGAATCTCACTGTGACATGAATGGGGGCCCCGTACAGACTGCTCTAATCTGTAGGGGAGTGGGGAGGGTGCGAGGTGCCAGATCTCCACTTCCCAAAGCCACAGGAACAGACACATTGTCCTCCCACTGACCAGCCCACGTCCCTGATCGCCTAACTCCCGACCCCTCCTCCCACTCACCCACAAGGAGCACCAGCACCCTGTCCTGCCCCCACACACTTCCCCAAGCGCGCTGTCTTCACCTGGCCCTGGAGCGGGACTAGGCTCCAACTAGAAGCTCTCCAAGCCCTGGGCACCCACAGGCCCTCTATTGGGGCGGGAGACCCATCCACCAAGGCCAGGAAAGTAGGCAGAGCCCCAAAGGACACAGCCCATGGGAATACGGAAGGCCAGAGAAACAGACCACCCACCGGTGGCCTCATTTGGTGCCAACCTACAGCTAAGCTGCCCCACGGTTTAGCAAGGGAATTCACTAAAGCTCAGAGAAGCTAAGAAACCAAACCCAAGCCCCATCATCAGGTAGGGGACAGAGCAGGACGCACACTGAAACCCAGGCCCACCTGCCGCCCTCTCATCATTCTGCCCCCACCCCCCCATGCCTGTCCACCGGGGACACTCCCAGAGGACTGCCTACCTAGAGTGTGACGGCTGAGTCTCTGCAGTGTAGATACAGCCCCCCCACTCTGCCCTGGGACACCCATGGGTGGGGTGAGGGTGGGCTACTCACGAACAGCAGCAGACACTTGTTCTCCCGGACGGCCCCGCAGCAGCCCAGGAAGCCCAGCAGGAAAAGCAGGCCGCCCATGGCCAGGAGGATGTAGGCGCCCGTGATAAGCAGGGGGTTGGCGGCCACGATCTCCCGGAAGCCGGTGGGGTCCACCATGACCCAGATGCCAATGCCCAGCAGGCAGGCCCCGCCCAGCTGCTCCCAGGGCGGTTTAGGAGCGGGGAGAAGAGGCAGACAAAGTGGGGGGGGGGGGTGGTTAGGCACTCCACATGCACACCGTTCCCCCCACGTGAGGCCCCATGGTAAGCCAGGGAGCCCCTGGGAGCCCCCAGAGAACTGGGCAGAAAACTGATTTGCCAGAGACCAGTGTCCAAGCAATGTTTTTCACTGTTTTGCATTTTCAGGGTTACCCAGATCTTAAGGGCGTCCTCTAAACCCAACCTCTGATCCACGCCGTATCGTGGGCTGCTGGGGATCATGTCCCGGGGAGTTTATTTGCCACTTTTAGAGTCTCCTTAAATGTCAGCGCTGCAGGATAATGAGGTCACTAGTGCAAGCTTTTGATTCCACACTGAGCCCCAGAGGGGGCCCGTGACTTGCTCAAGGTCACACAGCAAGTTCATGGCAGAGCCAGCGCTGAATCCCGGGCTTCTCTGACACAAAGTCCACGGCACACCCTCTGAGGCCTCTACCATGCTAGGGGCTGGGAAAACGTGGACACAAGCTGGCCCCTTTGTCCTCAACAGGAGCTCTCATCAGCGTGGGCTCACCACACTCAACACCGCTCCTCGAAAGCCTTCTTGTTTATGTCTTCGTGTCCACGGCCCATCTCTCCGTGCCTTACTCATCTTTGGAGAGAGGCAGCTTAGTCCAGAGAAAAGGTGGTGCCGCTTGTCAGCTGTGTGACCTTGGGTAAGTGGTTTAGCCTCTCTGAGCCTTAGCTTCCTCATGGGTAGAAGAAGATACAAATTCCCGCCCCCCGCCCCCCCGGCCTAAGGTGACACCAAGGAAGAAAAGCCAGTGTGGGTAGGAATGTTCTTAGCAAGTTTCAGTAAACATTCGGTCCATTTTCCTTGGGGACAGACAAGGACTGGAAGCAGATCTGTTACAAGAGAACAGTTAGGCCTCATCGGGTTTTGAACGGGGTAAAGTATCTGAAATCCCTGTGTGATGGGAGGACCAGAGGCCCCCCAGAGGCCCCCCAGAGGCCCCCCAGAGGTCCCCCAGAGGCACGCGCCAGCAATGCCAGGCTGTGGCTAAGAGCAAACTGGTGAGCTCTGAGGGGTTGAGAGGGGTCCGCAGGCTGGCGGGCAGAACTGCACAGCTTGGGGCTTGGAGCAGGAGACAATATTTTTAGTACAGGGGTCACAGCAGGGGAGTGAAGGAGAGGCTGGAAGGACCCATCACTGGGCAGATTGAAAGAGAAGGCCCACAGGGACTGCTGATTACACAGTCCCCACGGTCGCCCTGTGCCGGGCACCACCTTTCTGCTCCGTCCCTTACAAATGCTCTGATAAAAGCTGCCTTCCTCCTCGTTGCTCTTAAGGTTTTGCGGTTCAACAGTTGTGTGCTGAGGGCTGCTTCAAGGGCACAGACTGAGCTGCCTGAGGAGATACAGCCCCGTTACTGGTGGGGACCCTCAGTCTTGCGTAGGGCCACCCAGCTTGGAAGCTAGGTCCGGAGTTCTCATCTGGAGGGCTCCCTGTGCTTCAGGATTATGGGCAAGGAAGGGACCCCACGAGAGTTGCTGGGATGCATGAAAAAATGGAAGGAAGAGAGAGAAGAGAGGCAGAGAGAGTATTCGTGACCAGAAAGGACCTCTCTTTCCCAGCGACCATGGCCTGGAGGGCATCAGAGGACTTTTACTCACCCACGACCTGGCTGCACTAAGGTCAAAGGTTGAGGTGGGGTCAGGTGGCGGGCGGGGTGGGGGGGGGTTGACTTAAGACTCCAGGAGTGCGGCTTGGCTCCTGGGAGAGGCCAGGGGCCCAAGCAGAGCCTGTGGGGGCTGCCGCCAGCAGGTGGGCTGGGCTACAGGGCGCTGGGCTGGCCATCTGAGCGCTGAGTCTCTGGGCTTTCCAGTACAGAATCCATATGCTGGATGCCGATGGAGCTAAGCTAGAGAGTGCTGGCACATTCCAGGCACTTCCTAAACGGATCTTGCTTAATTTTCAAAAAAACCTGTTGAGGTAGGTAATGAAGGGATGAAGATACTGAGGTTCAGAGAGGTGAAATGTGTTTCTGATCACACAGCTGGTAAGATGCGGAGCTGGCTTTGAACCCCGGCTGCTCCCAGCCCCGGAGAGGTTTCAGATTACATGGGAGGGGGGGTCACAGCGGCTTGGACGGTCAGCTCTGAGGCCTGCAACTGCCCTGGGGCTCAGGGTTGAGGGGGGCTGTCTCAGCTGCCCTCTTCTCCATCCCCTGCTTCTTCCCAACTCTCCACTAGGGGTCTGATCCTGAGGCTGCAGCCAGGACGAAGGCTCCTACCCTTTTGTCAGAGGGCTTGAACCGTCCCAGGGTCTGTACCAAACATCTCTCCGTGACCATGGGCTCTTCGGAGTGGGGCTCTTCGAGTGCCACTGGGGGCCTCTCGTCCAGGAAATTCTGGCTGGCCGGGTCCATTTGCTTCTGGCACTGGCCCCTGTCCTGCCCCCAGGACTCTGCCCAGTGTGACTATTTCTGAGCCACGATCTGTTCTACCTGCCCAGCAGAGGCCTCAGGGGACCCCGGGCACGTTCCAGCAATACTTACAAATATGAAGAAATTGAAGACAAACATCAAATACTTCATGCAGCTCAGACAGTCGCCTTCCATGGTGTTCTACCTGCAAAAGAGCAAGCGCCTCAGTTTCCCTGCTGGGAGACCCCACCTGGAAAGAGCCCTGGCCCGTCCCCCCAGGGGTTCCGAGTGGTCAGCCCTGCCCCTGTGGCCAGTGTTTCCTCTCTGGGAGGTAGCTCTTTACTTCGTGCAACCAGACTTAGGAGTGAGAACTCGGGGAAGCCACCCCGCCAGGGCTCAAGCCTAGTTCCTCCAGTCATTTGCTGTGTGGCTTTGGGCAAATCACTCCACCCCTCTGGAGCTTGTTCTTTCCAACCTGAGGAAGGAGATTAAAAAGAGAAGCTTCCTCCCAGCCGAATCTCGAGGATAGGGGAGTGAATTGGGACAGGGGTCCGAGGTCCACAGGAGTTGAAAATAGCCGGGCCAACCTCCCCCAGCTGGTAAGGGGCGCGGCTGCAGCTCAGCTTGGCCTGAGTCCCGCTCCAGGGGACCCCGGAAGGTGGTCTGCTCTTCTAGGACAGGACGTGGTGCAAAGGGTTCTGGGAATACGTGTTGGGTGGTGTCAAATGTGGGGAAGATGGCACTTTGTTTCTTTCCACGGTTTCCCATCCTCCCTCCAGAGAGAGCTGGGCTCAGTGTGCCTTCCCCACAAATAAGCTTGATAAGTCCAGTTTACCCTGGTCGTCGCCAGGCTTATTAGGATTAATCTACATCATCGTAATCTCCATTTGGGGAGCACCTGCTGTGTGCTAATACTGTGACGAGTGCTTTCCACCTATGATCTCATTTAAATCTCCTAACGGTCAGTGAGGTGTGGGCATTGGTTATGGCAAATTTTCAGGTCAGCCTGGCAAGGTGTATGTGATTATCAGAGAGATTATGGCCACAGAACGTGCAGGAGGCAATGCTAAGATCTGACACTGAAGCCCATGCATGGTGCCTAGGACACGGCGGGCTCAGCAAATCTGCCCCCTCCCCACCCCAGACCATAACCCGATGCCCCTCCCAGCAAGGAAAGCCTCATAGACGGAGCTACACTCGTCTCCTGCACTCCTAGCTCACTGCACTTGGTGATGACAGGACCAGCCCCGCATGGCACTTTGGTCGAGGCAAGCGGGTTTTTAAAAAGTGCATTTGAATCCATGCAGAGAAAAACAGAGACAGAACCTGCCATTGGGGAAGGGTGTGCATAAAAGGCTGGTGCCTCTCCTCTCCTCTCCTCTCCTTGTGGTTTTTGCTGGTGAGCCAAGCATTGACCTTGGCTGGGCAGTGGCCGTGGCACCACTTAAGGCACCTGGGAGTCCATGAGGAAGGTGCTGGGTCAGGCAGGCAAGGGCTCTGGGCCCCAACGGCTTCCCTCCTTAAGTTGTCCGGCTCCTGCCAGCTGCTCTGCTCAGCTGATTGTGGCCGATTGAGGCCAGAGCCGAGCAGGGGACACTGAGGCAGGGCCTAGAACATCCGAGCCAGATGCGCTTTCTTATTTTATTGGGTGGCAGAACCCAATGCATCAGGCGACACCATGACGAACCCAAGGCTGCTCTAAGAGAAAATCAGGCAGTGACCCTGAGCTGAGGGCTCCAGGCTTGAAATCTCCAGGCTCGAAGCCTTTGTGCTTCTGAAGGTGCCTGGCCCAAGGGCTTTTCTTAGATCATGTGAGAGGAGAAGGGGAACAGAGGGTTCCTGGGGTCACCCGGCTGGTCGCCACCCCTGGGAATAAGGACGTGAGCATTTAGTAGGTGTAGGGCCCCATCCTCCGCACTAGACACGTATGAACTCACAACAACCTATGAGATAAGTCCAATCATCATCCCCATTTTCTAGAGAAGGAAACTGAGGCAGGGAGAGGCTAGGTGATTTGCCCAAGGCTGCAGCTGGTGAGTGGGGAGGTTGAGATTTTAACCCAGGCAGTCTAATTTGGAAGAACAAAGGATGGAGGGTGCATGCGTGCATGTGTGTGTGTGTGTGTGTGTGCGTGTGCATGTATGCCTGTATGCCTGTGTGTGTGTGTGTGTGTGTGTGTGTGTGTGTGTGTGAGACTCTTCTTTCCTTCACTGAGCTGTGGCCTGACTTTATGGAGTGTCATCTGCCTCCAAAGCTAGAATCTGGTGACACCACCCACTCCATCCAGGGATCTTTCAAGCACCCCCAGCCTCTCTGCTCCCACCTCCTCTCTCTCACCCAGATGTGGCCTCGGCCAAGGCCTGGTCTCCCTACTTCCAGACACTCCCCTTCCAGCCAGTGATCCCAGAGGGGCCTTTTGGCAAGGCACGTCGTGTCACATCATGTCCCCCGCTAACTGCCTAGGCTCTCCAGGAGACCAGCCACCCCCTGCCTGTGGACAGGAGGGCCTCCAAGACTCCCACGGCCACCTTTTTTTCCTCTGTCTGCCCTATCGCCAACATCAAAGGACAGTCCCCTGAGCTCACTTAGTGCCTCCACTCAAGCTAATCCCTTCTGCTGGGACTGCCTTTCCACCTCCTCCCTTCCCACCTAATCCCTGTTCATCCCTCAAGGCATCACCTCCTGCCCTGACAGCCCCCCCATCCTGTCCCTGTCTTCGCAGTAGCTCCCACGGCCTCTGCTGATCTCCACCGCTGCCCCCTCCACACACACACTGTGTAGCATTACGTCACCAGCCTGGAGGCGTGGGATGGCAGCTGTGTCCTCCTCCTGGGACGCAGCAGGGATTGGTACGTGGTCTGGATTGCACAAAACCCGGCCACATAGCGAACGTTAATTAAACAGCCTGGGCAGGAAGCCTGGTGCGAGGCTAAGGGCTTTGTGGGCAGTGCGTCTTTGTGTCCTCCGACCCCTCCAGCAGTTAGAAAGAGGGGGGCATGAGGATCCACACAAGCAGGGGGCCTCCCAACTTCCTCCTTTCTTCTCTCTGCTGTGCCCTCCAGAGTGAGCACAGTCCCCACGTGGCTCCTTCTGATGTGCCATTGGCCTGTCTTTCTCTCCAGATCTCCCGATTGGCAGGATCAGGAAGACCTGGCCCTTCCTTTGTCCTGGGACCCATCCTCCCAGTGGGTAGTGGGAGGGCTGACATTCCGTGGGGACCCCCAGGTCTGGCTGGCTAGCTATAGAGCCAGCCTGTCTTCCGATTGGTCTGCGCCTGGGCCCACCTGTACTTGACCATCTTGACCCTCATCCTTAATTGTGGTCATCTCTGTCTCCTCCATCAGCCCTCAGCCCAGGCTCCCTGCCTCCAGAGCAGCTCCCCAGGAGGCCGTCTCCAGGCCCACCTACAGCAGTGCCCCTCCTCCATCTCCAGCCTTCTAGAAACAGCATGTCACCTGAATTTAAACATGGTGGTTCTGAGCATAGGCTCTGGAGTTGAACACACCTGGGCTCCAATCTTGGTTCTTTATCTTTCTACCACCATGTCTTTGCTAAATGACCCAAACTCTGGGAGCCTCAGTTTCCTCGCCTGCAAGAATGGACATCAAGGGCCCACATCGCGGCATGTGGTGAGAAGTCAGTGCCTTGCTGGCCTGGAGCGGGGTGGACAGCTCTTCCCACAGTCACACCAACCCAGCAGGTGTATGGGCCTCCCGGAGCTCAGGACCCCAGGACAGTGCCCTAAACCCTAGGCGCTGCATTCCGACCCCCTCTCCCTTTGGTATCAGGCTGACCCAGCTCCACACGTCTGCTGAGACTCGGCATTCTCATGTGCCAGCTCCACAGAGCGCGTGCCCGGACTCTTTCAATGACCCAACAAAGTGCGAAGCACTGTCCATTGTACAGATGAGAACACCAAGGCTCAGGGAAGCCAAGCGACCTGCCCAATATCCCAGGGCTTGTAAGCACGCCGCTCAGCCCACTCCAGATCCTGTGCTCCACCGGGTTCTGGGGGCAGCTTTCAGATAGAGAGAAGGGCAGAAGGAGCACTGGACTGGGAGTCCAGAGCCCGAGCCTCCTGCCCTGTAAGTCACTTCCTCTCTCTGGCCTCAGCATCTCCCTCTGCAAAACGATGGAGCAGTTTCACGACTTGTCAGTTCCTTTCATCAGGCTTGAACTTGTACTGGATGAGCCTCTGGAGGGCAGAAGGGATGGCCCAACTAAGACGCTGGTTGTCTGCAGGGGTCCAGGCTCTAGCAGGCCCCTCCTCAGCCCACCGAGGCAAAGCTGCTCTCCATGGCAGGGTCTGGCTTTGGCTGGCTCTGGCTTTGTAGCAATTAAGGGGCATAATAAATATGGCAGCTCATAAACGGGCTACCTGTATTTATTACGTACCGTGCTCGTTACAGATTACATCTCATGGGTAGCTTGCGGCGTGCTGGGCTCCCAGACAAATGCAGTAAAAGGAGTGTGTCTCCTGGGAAGAAGAGCCTCTGACAACCTCAGAGGTGAGCAGGTAGAAAAAGAGACGATGGGAGCCAGAGGGTGGAGGGAGATCCAGAGGCCAAGTTTCCACTCCATGGTGAGGGGTGTGAGTGGAGAGAGGGTGTTGGGGCCTGACCAGGGATTGAATCCCACCCCACCAAGCCTAGCTGGTGGCGGGGGGCAAGTTCCTAAACCGTATACATCTGCATTTCTTTGTCTTTAGAATTAGTATAAAAAATAATGCTTTCCACGCGATGCATGGGAAATACAGAGCGCGGGGCTCGGCACATGGCCACTGACACTAGAACAGCCAGTTATCAGCGGGCGGATATTAAATTCTTACCATGGGCCAAGGGATATGCACAATCTCAATCCTCCTAAAGTTCCAGGATAGAGGTAATGTCATCTCCACTTATCAGGTGAGGGCACTGAGGCTCAGAGAGGTGCCGTCACTCATCCAAGGTCACACAGCAGAGAAGTGCCTGAGCCAGGATTTGAACCCATGTCTGTCTTCATCATCATTTTCGAGAAGTGCTAATTCCCTTAGCCCCCTTCACCTACCCTCCTCCACAATTCAAGCCTGTCTTCATACCTCCAAGGCCACCTCATTTCTCCCTGTCCAGGGCAATCAGCCTTCTGGGTCATTAGCCACCGCCAGGGTGAAGTCACAAGACCAATGCCTGTCAGTTCCACCTGCCACCAGCCGTTTCTGAGTGTGGGACACATCTCCTGAGCCAACTAGCCGGACAAGAGGGACAGACCAGGGAACCCCTGGTCCCTGCCTGCGTCCAGTGAGAGCTCCACTCACCCACAGTACCTTTGGAAGTTCAGCGAATCACAGCCCAGTTCCCTAATTTACTTCAAAGGAGGGTGGGGACAGAGACAGTCTCCGGAAGGTTGGGTCGAGAAGAATCGTGAAACTAAGAGGTCCAAGGGCTTAGCTGTTTCTCAGAAATGGTGTTCAAAGGCACTTATGAAGGAGCAAGGGAGGTCTCTCTGCTGAAGGGAGAAGATACACCCTCCCTAGGGCCCGGGGGGGAAAGGCCCACTGGGGTTTCCTCAAATCCCTGGAGGTGACAGGGACCTGGTGGGGAGCCTGGCCCTTCCACTTTCCAGCCTCGCAGCCTTGGACAAGCACACAGCTTCTCTGGGCCTTTGCTTTCAGATCTGTGAAATGGGGCCAGGAATGCTGGCCTCCTCAGGAAATTGTCTGGACCGAAGATTGAACGGGCACGGATGCAGAGCTCCTGGCACCACGCCTGGCACTCGATAGCTCTGTCCCTTCTTCCTTCCCTGCCCCCCAACCCCCCACCGAGGCGGCTTCTCCCCTCCTACTCTCCCAGACACCAATACACAGGCCAAGTTCCCCACATAAGGACAGGGGAGGACTCAGATATGGAGGAGGATTTCTGAGTGGGGAGAGTGGTTCTCAAACAGGATTCCCTGAGACTAACAATTTCCTAAAGCTATTTTCAGGATTGCGAATAAACACTCAGAAATCATCTGCTCTGTACCGGCTGCCTCAAGGGGCAAGTAGCTTGGGTTTTGGGGGAAATTAAACCAGCCCAGGGTGGGGACCCTACATCTTGGGTTGTTCAGAAGTTCTGGCCCCCCGCTATGTATGACTTTGCCGGACAAAAATGCAAGAGAAACTTGCAGTGTATACCTAGGAAATGACTTGGTAAAGGCGGCACTGTTTGATAGAGACAATCCTTTTATGTCTTAGGGCCCAGAGGGATGAATTGTGGGGGTCGAAGTTTTAGGCAGACTCGGCTTCGTGTGCGTTCAACTCCCCACGTGCAGGGGAGTGGGCGAGGAGCTGCGGTCCCAGCTGCCCTTCCATGCAGGGGTCTCGCCCGAGGGTGAGCATGGGGGTGGGCGTGGGGGGCTTGCTGTCCTGGATCTCATGGTCTCAAGGCTCCTGTTATGGTGCACCCTCTCCTGGCCTAGTGCCGGCTCTGGGCTCACAGATGAGTGTTTCATCGTACAACGTGACCCCAGACACAAGTGACCATTTCTTGTACAATGAAACCAGGTGGCTCAGAGCTTTAAGGGGATTTAAGTGAAACTTTTCATTTCCCTACCAGAAGTTCTTGGTCATGAGCTGGTAGGGCAGCTCTGACCAGTCGGATCCCCTCACTTTGGAAGCAAGAAAACAGGCTGAGAAATGGAAAGGGGGTGCGGACAAGTCAGCAGACCAGTTAGCGATGGATGTGAGCCGAGCACCCCGGTCTACAAAGGCCGGGTCAGGGCCCTGGGAAAGCGTTCCTGGCTCAGTCCTGTGCTCGCTGATCTCGGTAGCATGAGTCTCCCCTTGTTAGAACTCATGCTCCGTGAAGGCGGGGACTTGGTTCATCCATTGCCTGATTCCTAACATCCTGAGCAGTGCCTGGCACACAGTGGGTCCACCATTCAGACGTCTGAATGGTGAATAGTGGAAAAAGAGAAACTGAGACAGAAAACAGCGCAGATCTTGCAAATCAGAGAAACAAGGAACGGTCAGAAAGAGAGGGAAAGACAGAGAAAGGCAGACAGCAGGAGGTGACGTGGGCCAAGACAGACTGAGAAAAAGCTGAGGACGAGGCAGGGCATTGTCAGGGGACAGGGCAGCGGTACACAGAGGAGCGGGGCGCCAAGGCTGACTTCTCACCTGGGCGGCGCTTTGGGCGTCAGCAGGACAGAATCTCCCGGTCAGAGGGGCTCTCGTATGTTCTTTTATTGGCCCAGCTTGTCCTAGAAGGGGAAGATATTCAATTACTATAGGAAGTCAGTAAGGAGCAGCCACGTTCTAGAAGCTGTTTATGAAAACCTGCCCTAAGGAGGCACACGGGGCAAGTGTCTTGCTAATCTGGGTCCATTAGCGCTAATGAAAAGCTCTCGGCATCTGGGCCCACTCCAGCTGGGAAGGCCTGCGCGGGGTGCCTGCCCTCGGCCCAGAGGGGGAACCACAGCTTTAAGACACTTTCAGCGTCTGGCACAGGCTCGGTCTGCACTGACATACCGCATGCGGCCGAGGCACTAGGAGGACACAGCAGGCGTGGTGACCCACACACCTGGATGTCACCTGGGCACCCGTGGGGAGGCCCCAGCAGAGAGTGCCAGCAGGGGTGTGTTCCTCAAACCCCCCTGCCCTAGAAATCTTGGCTCCTGGGGGAGAAAAGCAGATGTTGGAAAGTGTTGCTTCGGGCTCACAGAAGGACTTAGCCTTCTGGTAGGAGCCAGACCTCAGCAGTGGAAATGAGGGTTGCTCTCAGTCGTCCGAATGGGCCAGATGGAGGCTCGTGTCCAGCCACACCTCGGGGAATCCCACGGCCTGGAAAAGTGAGGCTGTGGAACTTGGGCGGCAAGGGGCATTCTCATGGCGGGGAGAGACTTGGGGGTCTCGGGGGCCCATTGAGATCCCTTCCCGTTCACATCAGCGGAGGGCTGGTGGACGAAAGACTCCTCTCCATCCACGCCTGTACCCACTCAGGAGACACATTTGAGCACCTACTGTGTGCTGGGTGCCATGTTAGGAACAGGGACATGTATGAGCCCCCACGGTTGGTGGCGTTTGGGACTGGAGACGCCAGTAAGCTCGCCCTCTGTGTGGGGCGGTGGAAGAGATTGGAGGAGACAAACAAAGGGAAGACAATAGGGCTGGGGACTAACTAGGGGGACTAACTGTCCACGGGTGTAACTCCACTCCACTAGGGGCAGTGGGGCAGGAGAGTGGTTCTCGGGGAAGGGGCGGCCCAGGGGAGCAAGTCTCCAGGAAGCGTGGAGGCGAGGCCAGGCAGAAAGGCAGGAGCTGGGACCTCCCTCCTGAGAGCTCGTGGAGGCCCTGGGAGCCGGTACCTTGATTTGGCCCAAACACACCCACATGGCAGGCTTGTCACCTGCCTGCCTCTGGATCTGCCCCAGAACTTCGGGCTACAGGTCACACGTGAGCTCGCTGGGCGCTCACGACACCTGAAAACAAGGATCCCACAGGCACGGCTGTTTCCCAAGAGGAAGCCCTGCCTCCTTGTCACGGGTTATCCCTGCCCCATTGTATGGTGGCTCCTGGGCTGAAATGGACTTACCCCTCTTTGCGGTTCCGACTGCCCTGAAGAGCGTCCCATCTCTCTTTGCCCCTCTTGCTCCCGCAGCCCAAAGCCCGGCTTCTGACTTGTTTCCTGACCCAGCAAAGAGCTGCATTAGGGGATGCTGGTGAAGGGTGGCTGAGGGATGCCTGCCACGTGTACGCCATCACAGCTGGGACGGCACCTGCCTTAGCCGGCTCCCTTGAGACCTTCAGAAAGTCACTGACCCTCCCTGAGATGCCAGGTTCTTCTCTGAAAACTGTGATTCTTGATTTCAAAGTCAAAGGGGGTTGTAAGCATTCATGATATGGGGGCACCCAGGGGGCACAGTCCGTTAAGCATCTGACTCTTGGTTTCAGCTCAGGTCATGATCTCAGAGTCCTGGGATAGAGCCCTGAGTCTGGCTCTGTGCTCAGAGTGGAGTCTCTCTCTCTCTCCCTCTCCCTCTGCCCCTCCCCCCTGCTCACGCTTTCTCTCTCAAATAAATAAATACATCTTTAAAAAAAATTCGTGATATGAAGCTTGTGAAATTGACTGATAGGATACAAAAACCCTTGGAAACCTCCGCGCACTCTTCCCATGGGGAGCTGGTATCACTAGTACCATCATAAATCGGAAGTAAGTGGAGTCATCAGTGGAGGTGGGCATAGGTGAGAACTGTGGGCAAACGGTCTGGTCGGGATGGCTATAAACATCTTTCCCCCAAGTGGCTCCAAACTCCGCTACAATGTGCGGTAACTGGCTCTAACGGTAACTCACAGTGCAGTGTGCTAACCACGTAGCAGCGTCTGCTAAGCATTTCTCCTCCGTTGCCCTGCATGCTCCATGCCTACGAGGTCGGCGCCGCTACTATCCCATGTTCCATACGAGGCAGCTGAGATTGAGAGAATGGAACAAACTGGCCTGGGTTTGTTCCCATGGTCAGCCAGACGTGGCCACGATTCAGGCATAAGCCGGCTGGACTCCAGACCAGAGCTCCCGACAAGACACCAGCCCCGGGAGAGGGCACCCGAAAGAGGAAGAGCTACGTCTTGGGCTTCAGAATTTCCAATCTGGGGCTGCTCTGTCCTGAATCAGGCAACCAGGCAGACTCCCAGGGAGCCAGCCAGCATCGTTCCCTGTGCCAGCTGGAGGCCCTGGGGGGATGACCCAATCCCGCCACCTCTTGACAGATGGGAGCCCTGAGGCCCAGAGAGGGGCAGAGACGGGTGAGGTCACGCAGTGCCTCGGGGTTCTCCTGTGCAGGCCCCTGCCTGGGCCAGACAGCTTTATTAACATTGCCCCTCCTACCGCCTGGGATGGTGGCTCCATCCCATCTGCACAGTGCAGGCCCGGGAGGGGTCCTCTGATTAAGGAGAACAGAGCTCAGTTCATAAATCACTCCTTTTACTCTCACTGCCCTCGCACCCCCCGCCCCGGGCATACTTTCTGGAGAGAGAGAGAAGGAGGCAGGTGGACATGAGCGATGGAGAAGCCTCATGGGAGGAAGCAAAATGCAGGTATGGGGTGGGGTAGAGCCCAGAAGACTCTTGCAAGCGCCCCAGCCAGGTGAGGGCGCTGTGGGCCAGGGCAGAGCCTCAGTGTCCCCCTGGAGCCATCACACCTGCAGCAACCTGGCTTCCCACCAGCAGGGCTCTGCCCTGCCAAGCTGCGAGACCTGGGCCAGTCTGCCTCCTCAGCAATCATCTCCTCACCTGCAAGATGGGGGTTTTCAGAGTCGCTGCAGCCCCGGGGATGGGTGGTTGCGGGGGGGAATGATGGAGCTGAAAGCACTTTGGTGGCTGCACACCCAGTTCCTTCCTTCCTGCATGGCAGGACCCCGCTAGTGCCAGCCCTGGGCGTGGTCCCAGGCGCAGACATCAGTGGCTTTCCTTCCGCAAGGGCTGACTCAAATCTAGTGCCCGGTCATAACCCCACACTCAGAGAGGAATTTTTTTTTTTTTTTTTTTTTTTTTTTTCAGAGAGGAATGTTAACAGCCATCCCAACCAAGCGTTCTGGGCCCCCCTGAGAAGCAACGGTGGGGCTGGAGGGGACGCTCGGAGCTGGGGAGGCCAGGGTCCAGGGAGCGCCGGGCCCTGAGAAGACACTGGGTCATGGATGTTTACCTAGAGCGATCCCACTCGATCCCACAAAAGTCTCCGCAAAATAGATGATGCCACCGTTATGCCCGTTCATAGCCCAAGAGACCAAGGCACCGCGGGGCTAGAAAGGTCCCGGAGCCAGAACCGACCCGAGACTCGCCAGACTGAGACCCGTGTTTGTTTCCTTCATCAGAACATGCACGGGGCAGAGGCTTGTCAGGAGAAAAATGATTCTTGCCATCAGGTTCAAGGCTAAGGGGGTGGGTGGGGGGAGTTATTTGCTAGCTAGCTATGCCCGCTGGGCCTCCTCCCAAGACAGACAGTCTCATAAACAAGCAATTGGCCCGAAATCCTGGCGTGCCTAGTGATGGCACAGACACGGGGACATGGACACAGCTGAGCGGGGGCTCAAATCTAATTAGGCTCCTGGGGGCGGCGCCATGAAGGTTAACCAGGCACAGCCTGCCAGGGATGCAATGGGATCCCAGAAGACAGCCAGCCTCCCCTGTTCCCCAGACTCACAGAATCCTGGATGTCGAGGGAACAGAGTCTCTGATCTGCAGGGTCTGGGAAGGCCCCATGTCTAGGGTGTGAGTTGAGTTAGGCCTGGGTGCTTGATCCCTGCCACAACACTTTTTCCTATTCCAGAACTCCCATGGGGCTGTTTCCATCAGAGAATCTTCAAAGAAGGAAGTACCTCAGTGAGGGCGACCTCCAACTGCCTCTTTTTTCAGTGGATGCTGAGGCCCAGAGAGGTCCAGGGTCTTGCCCAAAGTCACACAGCACAGCTGGAAGCGGGAGCTCCTGATTTTAAGTCCACCGCTCTTCCCCGACCCAAGGCAGCCTCCCAAGACTGATACCTGAATTCATTTGGCTCCTGAAAGGACACAGCGCATGGCACATCAGTGAATCCCCCCATAACCCAGGAGATGGGCACTTCTGCTCCACCAGTAAAGAAATTGAGGCTCAGAGAAGCAATCTCAATGGTCCAAAGTCACACAGTAGGTTGGAGGAAGGGTTGGACAGACAAAGCAGGATTCCTTGTCCTTCTGCCCTGGCTGTCTTCTGGAGGTATGGCCCTAGGGACTTTGGGCCTGCTGAGGCCCATAGTGACCTTTGCCACAATGCACACTTCCCATTCCCTCCATGGACCTGGGCTGGACCGAAGCCACAGAAGGGGTCATGCCAGAAACAGGACAATGGGTCCACCTTCCTGCCTTGGTGCTCCAACGGTCTGTTTGCAAAGGCCTCTGGGGACAAAGGTGTGCACCCTCCTGCAGAGACTTTCACTTGCCATAGTCAAGGGGCTGAAAACAGGCAACCAATTTGAACTTGGGCGTGAGCAGAGAAGAGTGGTCATTCAGTGTGCCAGGCACAGGATTTGGCCTTAGGACACAGAGCCCAAGGGCTGGGAGGAACAAGGACAGGACAGTGCCAAAGCCAGCCCTCCTCCCAAAGCCAGTCCTGCGCTGTCCTCGGGCCTCCCTGGGCCCGGGGGAAAGGTTCCCTGACAGCCTGCCCTGGGATCCGGGCAAAGGGAGGCAGGAGGAGGAAATGAGAGGGCATTTCAAGCAAGGCTCCCAGGCC